TCGACGTGACCATCGCCGGTACCGCACACTTCGGCACCCTCCGCGCCTCCTTTGACGCGCCCCCCATCCGCTCGTCGGACGGCGAGAAGAGGGAGCCCGCCGTCTTCCTCGCGGGGAGGAGCGACGGGGGAGTCCTCCTCCGCCGCCGAGGTGTGGACGGCGTCTCTTCACAGCTGCGGCTGTGAACAGGAGCGACGAGCGCGTCCTCTCCCTCACCCACTCCTTCTCCAGCCCGGTTCGGCTGCAGCACGCCGAGGTCTCGGACCCGTCCTTGACATGTCCACGACACGTCCATGACATGCACATGTGCATGTCCACGACACCCGTCCTCTTTGACAGGTCTCCGACCCGTCCTTCCGCGTCAAAGAGCTGCAGGAGGGCCTCGTGGTGCGGCCGGGCATGCCCACGACACGTCCATGACACGTCCACGACACGTCCCCGCAGGAGGACATCGTTGTGCAGCCGGGGTGGGCGCTCGAGAACGCGCTCTCGCTCGTCTTTGCGCCGAACGCCACCGCCACAAACTACGCCGCCGCGCTGCTGCTCGTCACAAACGTGACGTGCACCGCCCGCGTCCCTCCCCCGCGCCGCTCGTGGCGGCGGAGGCCAACCCGCATCAACCCGCACCGCCAACTCGTGACGTGACAGGTGACGTCCACCAGCGTGCCGCTCGTGGTGACGGAGGGGAGGCTGCGCCACCTGGTCCACGCCTCCAAGCCAGACCCCGTCCTCTTCTCGCTCAATCCGCCCGCCCCAGCGGAGGGGGAGGCGCAAGAGCTGCCCGACGCGGGGATGGGAGGGCCGATCGACTTCGAGCGGCTCGGCCTCGGCTCCTCGCGCGTGCGCCACCTGCAGCTCGTCAACCCGACGCCCGTCTCCGTCTCCCTCCGCGGCTGCTTCCTCCGCGGCTTCGGCGCGGGCGCCGCCCGTGCGCCGCTCTGCGACCGGCCACTTTTCTAGGGACGGGTCAGCGCACTGCGTTAGGCACCGCCGCCGTCCGCGTGGTGCTCGACGACGTCCGCGACCAGCACGGCACGCCTCCGGTGGCGCTGCACGGCTCCGTCGTCCTCGGGGCCGGCTTGGAGGGCGGGAGCGCGCTGCGCCCGTCTGCCGGCGCGGAGCAGCCCTCGCCTGGCGGCTCCTCCTCCCTCGGATCCGCGGGAGGGCCGGTGCCGCTGCTGCTGCTCGAGCCAGGCTCGAGCGCGTTCCTGCGCGTCGAGGTCAGCGCGTCGCCGTGGCACGAGGAGGCGGTGAGGCGCGCGTGAATACACCGCGGTAAGTGTGAGCAGGTCAACACGTCGCTCTCGACGGTCGCCGAGAGGAAGGAGGGCAGCCTCGAGCTCCACACAAACTACGAGAAGCTCCTCCTCCCTCTCTCGTACGAGACGGTCCAAGGGAACCTCTCCTTCGTGCCCGCCGTCGTCCGCGTCGGCCTCGCCTTCCCTGGCGTCGTGGTGCGCAAGCTGCTCACGGCGCAGTCCTTCTACACGCAGCCCGTCACCGTCGCGGCCATCACTTCGCCCGACCCGCGTTTCGTCATCCGCTCGCTCAACGTGTCGGTGCCGCCGGGCGGGCGGGCAAAGGTTGGGGCGCCGAGCCCCGGCCCTGCTCTCAAGTTCAGCGCGCGCTCTAACTAGCAAGGGCTCGTGCACAGGTTGGAGAGCTGATCTTTGACCCCACCCTCGGCGGAGACGGTGTTCACCGGCTCACCTCCGGGCCGCCCTCCCTGAACGCGCGGCTGACGCGCCGGTACGAGGAGTGGAGCGAGTCGCCGGTGCACATGCCGCTCGAGGCGGCCGAGTTGGAGGCGCTGCGGAACCGGCGGCAGCAGTGGGCTCTTCTCAAGGCGCGTGCCGGCACCGACCTGCACCAGCGGCTCCACGTGGAGACGGACCTCGCCCCCGCCAGCCTCACGGCCCGCGCGACGGTCGCGTGGCCCCAGATCGTCGCGTCGCCCGTGCTAGCGTGCGGCGCTGTCCACGTCGGCTCCTCTTCGACTTGCTCCATCGACGTGCGCAACCGCGCGGCGTCGCCCGTGTGGGTGGAGCTGCTGCTGCCGACGGAGGAGCAGGCGGAGCAGGCGGAGGCGGAGCAGGAGGAGTGGGTACTCAAGCGCGGCCATAGGGACTCCGTGCAGGCGATCAAGGTTGCCTCGGCGCACCACGCGGCCTTCGGGCTGCCCAAGAGGCCGGCGGACAAGTGGCAGGACAGCTGGCCGCTCGGCAGGACGCCCCAGGAGGCGCCGCCAAAGCTGCACCTCATCCCTCCCGGCGGCGAGGCGCGCATCGGCTCGATCCGGTTCTCGCCCACCCGGCTTGGCGCCGTCCGGTCGACGGTCTACCTCCGCTCGAACCTGACTTGGCTCGACGAGGTTCTCATCGTCGGCGACGGCGGAGGCGGCCGGCTGGCGGTGCTCTCCGAGGCGTCCGCCGCAAAGGCCGAGCGCGGCGATCCAATCGGCACGGCGGAGGATGACGAGGGCGTGCTGCGCGTGACGCTTTCGTCCGAGGAGCTTGCCGGGGCCGAGAGCAAGCTGCAGGCCCTCGCCGCGAGCGGTGAGTCGACGACGCCGCTGCCGCACGTCTTTGTCAAGTCCTTCACGCTGACCAACCGCGGCAACCTCAACCTGCGCGTCGACTGGATGTCTGTCCAGCCCGCGGGCAGCCCGGCGCGGCAGG